GTGAGCTAGCACCAAAGCTTTCTATGACTTGGTTTCAGCATGGAACTATAGTTCCATGGTCTCAGTAAGCTAGATTCTATCACAGCAAGTGATTACAACTCCAGTGGTTTGCATGCCTTTTATACAGCGTATGGAAGTTCTACCATGTTATAAATCTATGGTGAGTAGCATGTTTGTACTTCAATAGTCTAGGTACTCGACTTCAGGTTACGCGTTAGCAAATGAAGGGGAATGTAATTGGTTGAAAGCGTTAAAGAAAGCCAATCAGACCACCTAGGTCAGTTAAGAAAATCAATGTAACATTTAGCAATGTTTGATTTATTAATTGAAAGACTTTTTGTTTTAGTTTAGCGAAAGCCTTTAAGGAAACAGTGTCACGTTCGCGGCAAGCTCGGAACTGCAGAGACTCGTATAACATTGTCGTCTGATAATACCACCACTAAATTTTTCGGCAAATGGGAGCCAGCTTTGCTAGCCAACACGGTTCACGTGAACTTTTTCTTACTCATCTGAATGTAAGTTTTTTTTCATTCTTTAGCAGTCACGTGATTGCAATTAAGTGGGCACATGTTACTGCGGGTTACAGTCTAAGCATTCTTAGAAAAGTATCTAAAGAAATGTTGACGTCTCTTTATATTAAATATTCATCATGCACAGTTTTGTTAATTTTAAGAGATCTGGCTATGATTTGGTTGAGATTTCATTAACCTGTTGTGATGTTAATATTTATATGCATGAACTGTAAATCATTCTGTGTTCTGTGCCGGTGGAAAACCACATAATGTCGCGTGAGAACGTTTACAAGCGTCAGTGGTCCTCTGACCCCAGGTTTTCGCTTAAATTTCTGCGCCTTTTTTTGCAAACACCTTTGGCGTTTCTTGATTTAGTATGCTAACAAATTGGACCTGAGGACTGTCAGCAGTCTATCCATATGCCACTCTCAATTCCTCACAGTACAACTGATCAGCACAGTTATTTTTAGTCTTAATTTAGTAGCGTACCCTGTAAAAATGGCGCGTAGATATATTGATACTGCACCATTGCATTCACTCACGTCATCATAATTCCTGTTTAGGCCAGTCTGTTAGATCGTGTGGTATTTCTATGCTTAATAAATGAAATAAAATGACAAATGAACGAAAGAGACGATTCCCAAGTTTCTTCGGGTGTTGTGCGGCGATGAATTAGATTTGAGCTTACATTCTTTACGGACATGCTGAGCTACTGCCTCAGCTAACGCAGGTGAGGGTGAGGTGTTGTTGACTAATTGAGTAGTCGTTTGTCAGTTTCCAAATAAAATAGTAGGTTTGTAGGTGTACGTTCCTTTACCGGTTCTTATTTATCTATGTTGCCGCACCTGGAATCTTATTTGAGGAGAGATGTGTGTTTACATTGTTGGGCGAGGTGAGGTAAGCTTAGATAGGTCTACCACATTTGCAATATAGCTATTGTTTTTTCGTGATGGCAAGCATACGGGTTATGATATGATATGATAACATCCCAAACATTAACACTGGGGTAGAGGTGTGAATACCAACGTTAGCTCAGTATCGCGACAGTGCAGTTTTTCCATTTAATTCTTTTACTCACTATTTTCCGCCGGGCAAGCCTAAAGTATGACATGACAGGTTCTCAGAGATTTTTTGTCCAAATTCCTTTAGGAATTTAAAGTGCCTGTGAAATGGCTGCTATTTTCACACCTAAAATTATCAATTGATACATAAATATTATTATTTTTTATGTTTCTAAGCATGAATTATTTTTTTTAAATGAAAAAATGTGTTTTAAACTCAGTCTACGGCAATTTTATTTTTGTGTATTTTAAAACGAGGCTCCTCATTAGCTTCTCATTTGCATACAGAAATTCCCCTTGTGACGTCAGAAGGGGCAGTCGCATGGCAGCTTGCATTGCCGATACGTGTAAATAAGGCAAATTTCTTGTGAAGTTTTCTCGTCTTTGACTAAATTGTCACTTATGTACTTGTTCGTCGAGGAAGAATGGACCATAATGAACACATAGTATAAATTTTTGTTGCATGGGGCCTGAGTTAGATGCGAAATATGTCCGTTCTGGTGTAGCTGGTCACCGTGATCGTCACCGACACCGGCGCACGTTTGTAAACTGTTGCTGGACAAAATAGAATTTGACGTCGGAATTATCTCGTTATTTAGCAGGTTACTAGGCACGTCGCTACACTGTTTTATTTCATCGATCGTCGGACG